GAAACGTTAACTCTGTTTTCTCCTCCACAGATGCTGCCAGACCTGCTGAGCTTTTCCAGCAACTTTCTTTTTGTTCCTGATTTACAGCATCCGCAGTTCTTTTTGGTTTTTACTAGTTTATGGGAGTTGGGTACAATATTGAGGGCTCTTCACTTGGGTCTGTGTTGAAGCTGGCCAGTTATTTCACATGGAATGATTACATCTTCAGCCTAACACTGTTGGCTAAATTTGACCTTGGTTTATGCAAGTTAAATGGATTTGTGTGGTTTTTAGTTTGTTTTTAAGCAGTCCATGATTTGTTTTAATTCCACCAGAAGCAAATGAAGCTGGTATTGATAACCGAAACATAATTGATGATGGCAAGTCCCAAAAGCTCAGCAGAGATGATATTGAGGCACTTAAAGAGCAAGGATTAAAAGGTCAGGTAGGGATGACTTTTTGATATTTTTTAAATCAGCAGACATGTTATGATACACCTCCTGAAGCAGGTGGGACTTGAACCCAGATCTTCTGGTCCAGAGATGGGGACGTTTCCAATGTTACAAAACCTGAGAAATGACTTTTATACTGGTGAAATTGTCTATTTACAAAGAACTTTCTCCACAGAAATTGTCTTGTTTGTGTCCCCAATTAATTATCGTTAAAACTGAGGTTTTATTTTACACAGGATATTGTCCAACATTTAGTAGAGAATAGCACAACATTTAGAGACAAAACTGGATTTGCTCAAGAAAAGTACATCAAGAAGAAAAAGAAAAAGTAAGATTCTGTTCTTGGGGTAGGAATCGGGTCTCATGTTAGTAGAAAGAGATTTTGCCTTGATTGAGATAAACTGACATGCCAGGATATGTTTTTTCCTCTTTTTAAAAACAATAATTTACCTATGCAAGTAGTTAAGCCTTCTAATTATAAAATCCTAATTGAATCAGTCTGAGCCACTACAATGGCAAAGAAATATCGGTAACTGTTACAGTGTAACCCTAAAATTCAGAAGCAATGTTCTTAAGTTGTTTGTTTGTTTAAAATGCACTTTGACGTCACAGATTGTAACAAGAAATTCAGTTATGTAACTGTTTAAAACCCAAATAAATGTTGGTGTCTTTCACCTTGCAGAGAAATAATTCTCGACATCTTCTAACAGTTAAATCTTGTTGATAGGTATGAAGCATTTATAACTATTCTAAAGCCTACCACTCGCATAATGGCCATGATGTATCATTCCCGTGAGCCAGGTAAAATTTGGTGAGTAAATCAAGTTGATCTTTCTTTTTAGCTTTCTGATATCTGAAGCATATTTCAGACTAGTGACTGAGTTTTGAATTTTAGCAGGGTTCGTACTATATTTCTTTTGGTTTCTGCCTGATGAGAGGTAGATTTTAAATCCTGTATTGTTGGAACTGGAGATAGTAGGAACTGCAGATGCTGGAGAATCCGAGACAACAAGGTGCAGAGCTGGATGAACACAGCAGGCCAAGCAGCATCATTAGGACCTGCTCCTATGACGCTGCTTGGCCTGCTGTATTCATCCAGCTCTGCACCTTGTTGTTAGAATTGGGCAGGGCATTAAGGTGTGATGGAGAATTGTTTCCTACCTATATTGACAGATTGATTCAAGGATGGTTTTCTGAATCTGATCTTTTCTAGCTGCTTTGATTCTGTCCACCAATTATTCCTCTAATTGCAGTATCTTTCTCTTGACTCTTGAATTTAATCCACTTCTACTTTTGCTTTTGGTTTAAAGATCACTTCTCTTTAATTAAAAGAATATTATTTTTCAGAAAGTATTGTTCAGAATGCTTTCTGCATGTATCAAGTAGATTCTTCATTGTTTCTTTTGGTTTCCGTGAAATTGAGTAGATGCCAGTCAAGTAAGTTACATTGTTGAACATCTCTAAGCGTTATAAATGAAATACAAATCCTGTCACGAGGCCATTAATTCATGATCTGATGAAGACAGCTGTAACATAGACACACAGATCATAATAAAGGATAAACCACGGGCTGAGATGAGGGATGTCTTAATTTGGAGGGTAGTGAATCTTTGGAATTCTCTAACCAGGAGAGCTATGGGAACTTGATCATTGAGCAGGCTGAGGGTAGTGTAATAGATGTCTAAATACGATTGACATTGAGTGTTATAGGGATAGCATGGGTAAATACATTTGAGGTGGATAATCAGCCGTGATCTCGAATGGCAAAGCAGGCTTGAAGGAATGAATGGTCTAGCTCTACCACTGTTTTACTGTGTTCTAAAGATTTCACTTGGTAGGCCACATTAGTGGTTGTCACATCATTGTCAAGTGAGATTGCAGGTTCAGCAGCAAGACCGTAGGCTCTGAGTGTCTGGATTGGTCACATGAGGCAATAGCTTAGTGAGCTTATTGCTGCACTGTTAAGGCAGAGACTGGTAATATTCTGAGAAGCTGAGTGCAAGTCCCACCACAGCGGATGGTGAAGTTTGAATTCAATTTTTTAAAAAATCTGAAATAAGACTCAAGTGGTGACCATGAATCCATGGTCAATTGTTGGAAAAACCCATCTGGTTCAATAATCTCTTTTAGGGAAGGAAACCTGGTCAGGCCTACATGTGACTCCAGACCCACAGCAATGTGGTTGACTCTTAACTGTCCTCTCGGCAATTAGAGATGGGCAATAAATGCTGACTTAGCCAGCAGCGCCCTCATCCCCTGAATAAACAATGATAAAAACATGAGCTATTAGCCTCAGTTTTACAGCCAAATTGACTGACTGCATTTACCACTGTGCTCAAAGAAAGCTGCCCACAGAGTAGTCCCTGGCCTGAATTTCACGTTTCCTGATGTTAAGTTCATTCTGGCATCAGCTATAGTGGATCTCTGACATCAGCAACAGCGATGTCATCAAGCTTGCTAAGCAGCTAATTGCATGGAAGATTTTTAGAGGCAGAAAAACAGGAAATAAAAAGCATCTTTTATTAATTCATTTATTTTGTTCTCTAAAATTAGTATTAAAGATTCTGACGTGGGATTGAAGTAGAAAATGAAATATCATAAATTTAATTTTAAAAGTACCATCTTTGGAGCTTATGGAGAGTGGATCCACAAATACAAAATTAATTGTTCAGGGTTGTTCAACAGTATTTTCAGTTCACTATAATGTCCTACTCTGTTATATCTCGTGAAAATACTACAGCATTTTGAATGTGATTTCACAGTGAGACTACTCACACAAAATGTTTGCATCAATGAAAATGGTTTAGGATTTCCATAAGAGGGATTTGATAACATTATCTACCTTTTTGGAGGATTGGAGAGTCACAGGCAGCAATCTCTGAATTTCTGCCTTTAACTGGTCAGTTAAGTGTGTACAGTGAAGTTGCTGTCAAATTTGAATGGTGACAGTGACCGCTTTGCTAACATTACAGCCACTAAATTGAGGCCACTGCTAAACTGGATTTATTGTGGTCACACAAGGTAGAGTGCTAAAGTAGCACGGTGGATTATGCAGATAAAAATTGCAACCAGTTGGGATAGGTTGAGATAGTTTTGTTTTAATCAAGTGAGGTTTGAAAAGAGACCCATCCTCCTTCTGGTTTACCTGTTTTAAATCCTTCATTAACTGGTTTTGTTTTGAATGTGCTTCATTAATATCTTATGTCCATGATCACCTTTTGACCCATGACTAAACAAGTGCAATAGCTTGGTTTACTGGAAATAGCTGGTGTGAAATCTGATTTGTGAGTAGTTCACACACAAGATGCATATCTGGGGACAATAAACGGGTTTATTGTGCACCTGCTGAATGCTGTCCCGTATTAATTCATATCCAAGTTTAGCTCTTAGAGGTGAATTGGCGTATTAGCATATCTGAATTTTCTTTTTGGGCATATGGAAAGGAATCGGAAAAAATCCAATTTATATCATGTATTATTTTTGTTCTAGTTTAAATAGGATTACACTTAACATACTTAAGTTTTGATTTTTGTTCTGCCCATTTGAAACTAGTTGCTGGGTCTGCTGTTACTTTTTGACAGTTTTGTGATGGGGTGAGAGGAATGGAGAGGGGAGAGAAAGACTGGCTTGCTTGCACAATCATCTTTAAACTGCATTATTAATGTTGCTTTATCCCCAACAGAATTAACACCATTATTACTAATTTTTTTTTTTTTTTCCTAGCTATTTAAGGTATGACACGCTGGCTCAGATGTTAACTCTTGGGAACATCCATGCAGGCTCCAAAGTAATTGTAGCAGAAACCTGTGCTGGTCTGGTGCTTGGTGCTGTAATGGAGAGATTGGGAGGTAATGAAATCTGAATTTGCACCATATTCACTTGAATTCCTAATGTGTTGAGACTTTATTGTAGTAAGTGTAACCAAACAGGTCAGCTAAAGAAGCTTCGCAATTGTACAGATTGACCTTTTAATTGACTGAGTGAAGCTTAACCTATTAGCAGTGTATCTTACTGAAGTTAAGTTTGAAAAGCTCAATTGGGAGTACTGGTTCAAATTTTAATGTCCCATCCAAATGTAAACATCATCATCCACAACAGGTATTTGTGCAAATTGACCTCCAAGTACAAATGTTACAATGAGTTCAGAATATCTTGTTTAAATCCATGCTTTGCTCTTCATTCACTATCATGTTTATTGATCTGCTACTATCACTTCTTTCCAATTTAAAAAAAAAATCAAATTTTGTGGCACATGTTCAATTCCTGAGCACGTGGTGAACAATGGATTGGTGAGAGAAATGAGGGTTCACCGCAAAGAAATGCAAGTTTGGAGTAGGGATGCAATGTTGATTACCTTTATTTTCTGTAACAATGTAACTTTTAATTTCATAATTGAACATCCCTCCCTTATCGCATTTGCAACGTAAACATCATGGTGTATACATTGGAAATGAATCATTAGCAATGCACTTAGAGTATAAAAGCCAAGCAAAAGTATCATCAAGAAAGAAGGATCAGACAGAATTAGTTCTGCTACTAGATATAACACGCAAAAGGAAACCACAACTTCCCAGTTCCAAATCTCTCATTAAATATCATTGTTTTACTGTGATTTACAAATCCTAACTATTCTGTCTTCTAAAGTGTGGAGCTGGAGGAACACAGCAGGCCAGGCAGCATCTCAGGAACAGGAAAGCTGATGTTTCGGATCGGGACTCTTCTTCAGAAATGGAGGTGGGGTTGGGGGGTGGGGGGAGTTCAGAAGTAGAGAGAGGAGGGGTGGGGCTGGGGGAGGTAGGTGGGATGGTGATAGGTGAGTGCATGTAGGCAGTGGTCAGGATTGGTCAGTGAGGTGGGAGTGGTGGATAGGTGGGAAAGAAGATGGACAAGTTGTGTCAGGTCAAGGAGGTGGGGATGAGAGGGAGGATTGGTCATGGGATGAGGCTGGGGTTGGGGGGGGTTTTGAAACTGGTAAAATCCATGTTTAGGCCATCAGACTGTAGGCTCCCACGGCAGAATATGAGGTGCTGCTCCTTCAGTTTGTAGGTGGCATCATTGTGATACTGGAGGAGGCCCAGGGTGGACATGTCACCTAGGGAGTGGAAGGGGGAGTTAAAACGTTCCATGACCAGAAGGTGGTGTTGACTCCAGCATGTGCAGCTCTTGCTATCTCATATTCTGTCTTCTAACCCTGTTTGATATTGCCCTGTAAGAATATATTCCCCGGAATTACTTAGTTGTTTGGAATTTTCAAACCGTTTAGCTTCAGTCCTCAATTCCACATAATTCCAGCGCAGACATCAATTTGGTCAATTGCCTGCATTATCCATCTGTCATTCCTGGTATGGCCCCGTGTTTACTGTAGTACAGGGGGCAAAGCATTGAGCGTGTCTGGTGTTTAACTGACTGAAATCCCCATCACCAGATCGGGCTAGACTACCTCAAGCTCAATTGATTCTCATCCTCCTTTGCAATCTACTTATACCCCACTCCATGTAGTTCTCCAATCAACCTTTCACCATCTTTACTGTTTGAGCTGCTTATTAGCCTCTTTCTTATGATAAGAACTTCCTGTTTAATTGCTTCCCTTCATGTTGCCTACCTTACTAAGCTGTCATTGGTTCAAGAGTGTTACTTGAAATCCTAATTTATCTTTCACCTTCAAAGTGACCACCCAGTAAGAGTGTCTAAATAATAATAAACTATCTATTCTGTGTCTCCTGTTTAATCTTTTCCTGCAGGTTTTGGTTCCGTTATCCACGTGTATCCAGGTAGCTTGCCTGTCAGGGCAGCGATGGAGAATTTTGGCTTTCCAAAATCCTTCTATAACCATCTATTTGATTTTCCTATCAACAAATTGAACAGTCTTCTTTCTGGAGGTTTTTCAGCTGAGAAGGAAACACTGCAAAAACAAACTGAAGTTATGATGGAAGAAGGTAATGGGAGCCCACTGAACACCTACCAGGGTGATGGGATGCCTTGTGGTGAGACTGTGATGGATAACAACCAATCTGAGGAAACTAAGCCCATGGATGTTGCTTGTGAGGAGGCTGAAAATAAAGAAAAAAATACAGACAGAAAGTCCAACGTAAGATTTGTTCCTGTAGGACGTAATGTGGAATGTTAAATTCTAATGTAGCCAATTTCAATGGCCCAGGTGTTTTAAATAGTTACGGTATGGGAGCAGAAACTTTTCCAGATTGATTGTGACTTCTTACCTACAGGTAGCTGGTTCCATTGGTGTAAAGCAACACTAAAATAGTGATAATATTCACAATGTCACAAAGCATATTGGTTTTAATGCTATGTTTTTCTTCTACGCAGAAAATGGTCATCAAGTAAATTGAAAACCGAAAGAACTGTGGATGCTGTAAATCAGGAACTAAAACAGAAGTTGCTGTAAAAGCTCAGCAGGTCTAGCAGCATTTGAGAGGAGAAATCAGAGTTAACATTTCGGGTCTGGTGACCCTTCCTCAGTTCTTCCTCAGACCCGAAACATTAACTCTAATTTTTTTTTTCTTCACAGGTGCTGCCAGACCTGCTGAGCTTTTCCAGCAACTTCTGTTTTTGTTCCGTCAAATAAATTGATTCAGTAAAGCAGGGTTTACGGTGTTGTGACCTAGCAAAATGCTAAATAATTGCACCTATTTAAATATAATTTTGTCATTGCACTTTTTTAAACTGGAAAGACGCTTACACTTTACTATAATACACTTTTGCTTCAGTCATTAGCTGTATTATAACATTTTTGTGCTAATCACTTCTCCATATTTAGTCTTGAATACGACATCTTTCCAATTTTTGTCCTTTATTTTGTAATGTTAGTTTATGCCACATCATTCAACACATTTTAGACTCATTTACTGATGCTGCTAGTTGTGGGAAGTCATTGCTTTCTGTCACTAAGGGCTTCAACATTTTGTTCTGCTTTAGTCAAATACTCTAGTCAAACTAGCAAATTTCTATCTTTCCTAGGTACCGTGCTCTGTTTAAGGTGCTGCTAGTTTGCTCAGGCCTTCTCAAGCAAAAGTAGATTTCAGCAAGTGTATTTTTGACCATTATCATCAGAACTCCCTAGGTTATTATGCTTGATGATTTGAAATGCATTTCTTAAGAGGACAATGAACAATTGAACTTTTTCCCCCTCTATTCCCAAAATTCATAATACTGTTGTAATATCTCTGTAGTTTGATAATCTGAGTTCCATTGTACCCACATGAGCAGCTAATTGCTCCTATTCTTGTGTACTTTCTAGACCTATGGACACAATTTTTTTATTTTTTAAAAAAAGCACGGGAACAGTATTCCTTTAAAATCATGCCTTCCCTTCACTTGGGACTCCATACATCTTACTTTATTCTGACTGTTTTCTCTCTGTGACAATGTTTTCCTTTAACATTAAAAACAGAAAGAACTGCAGATGCTATAAATCAGGAACAAAAATAAAGTCGCTGGAAAAGCTCAGCAGATCTGACAGCATCTGTGAAGGAAAAAACAGAGTTCATGTTTCAGGTCCGGTGACCCAGTTCTGAGGAAGGGTCACCCGACCTGAAATGTTAACTGTTTTTTCTTTCACAGATGCTGCCAGACCTGCTGAGCTTTTCCAGCAACTTTATTTTCTTTCCTTTAGCGTGCTTCCTGTAGGAAAACGAGTGTTTTAAAATTCTCAAAATTTAAAGCACTCTCGATCTGAAACCAAATCTTCTTTATTTAATTGCTGCCCTTTCCCAGTATAGGCCAGGTTTCTAACCTAGTTTTATGCTTGTTCTGGTGCAAATTTTAGTCTTCCAAAGTCAAACTGGACTCCATCTTTGTTGACATGTTTCTTAGCAGGTTGAAGAGAGGAAGAGTAAGCAAGAAGATCGGCTGAAGAAATTACAGACCGCTGCAGCTGTGCTTCAGGAAAGAAATGCAGATGGGTGAGCTGATATAACAAATGAACTCCATTATAATTCTGTTGCAGATCTTTTTTATAATCGTAGAATCCCGACAGTGTGGAAACGGGCCCTTCGGCCCAACAAGCCCAAACCAACCCTTGGAGCATCCCACCCAGATCCATCGTCCTATAACCCACCTAAGCTACACATCCCTGAACACTGGGCAATTTAGCATGGCCAATCCACCTAACCTGCACATCTTTGGACTGTGGGAGGAAACCGGAGCACCCGGAGGAAACCCACACAGACACTGAGAGAATGTGCAAACTTCACAGAGTCGCCCGAGGGTAGAATTGAACCTTGGGTCCCTGGCGATGTGAGGCAGCTGTGCTAACCTCTGAGCCACCGTGCTACCCTATAAATGGCAATGTGATAGTTTGAATGCACCTGATGTTTACAAATAGTAATCAACATTTATCCAGCGTGAATTAAAACTTGCAGAAATTGCAAAAGTAAAACAAAGCTAAATTATCCCAATTTTGCCCTGGTCAACCCCACCTTCCATAAACTAAGTTCATATTAAATTCTACCCATATCTTAACTTGTACAAAGCCACATTCATCCATCACCCATGTGCTTTTCCTCCACTGTGTTACCTTCTTCTCCATAACCACCACCTTTATTAGAATTCACATGTGTTCAAATTCCTCTTAACATTCAACAGCCCCTCGGAAATCTGCATTCCTCCAACTCTGGCATCTTGGCCATATCTCATCTCCTTTAACGTACTATCAATCATCTCAGTCCAAAATTCTGGAATTCGTTCCCTAAATCACCTAACATCTGTAAGCCCCTTAAAATCATCCCTTTTGGTCAAGCTTTGATCACCAGTCCAAATGAGCTGAATTTTCTTCACCTTAGTGAGTGACAAACTTGGAGGTAAGGTCTCTCAAAAATATCTGAGCCACATCAGGGCAGCTACCCAACATATTACCATGGCCCTTGAAGATCCCAAGGGTGAGCAGGAAAGCTGATTAACCACCTGCACCATGGAAATGAGCAGCCAGTGTACATAGGGCCTCCATGAAGAGTAACATTACCAGCTCACTAGCATTTTGCTATCAGTGGCACAATCAATTAACGTGCAGAGGCTGCTAATGTTATGAGAGGTGGCCGCTCTGCAAGTTCAGTGTCTTCAAGGTAAAATGCCCTGTCCCCTGAAATGGGATCTGAGCAGGATAGCCTTCTGCGACCCCAAAAAGACAACTGGATTCTTCTCCCCACTGATCTGGGGGACCTATTACAGACACGTCACACCCCGGACATGATGTTGTGCTGGCTTAGTTATGGGGACAACATGAGACCCTAAAGTCCACAGGTCTGCCAAATATTGCTTCCTTCAGTTTACTTTGGCCAGTGTACTTTTATATAACACTGTAGGATGTTTTACTGTGATAAATACTGTGCCCTCTAAATCATTTTATTTGCTGTGAATAGTCCAGCTTCAGTTTAAATAAAATACCATAGTTCTGTCCAGCCATTTTGTTCTAAATTCAAAGTTGGCTAATGTCAGATAAATGAAAATAAATTTTGTTGAGTTAAATGTTTTTATTTCTTGAAGGTTAATTATTGCAAGTCGCCTGTACCCCAGCCCCTTATTACTTTGTCTTTTGGAGTTTGTGGCACCATCTAGACCGTTTGTCATCTACTGCCAGTACAAAGAGGTAAAAGAAAAACTATATAAAAGTAGATTGGTTTGATTAAATATTTCGGACCATGATTCAGTTCATTAACTTGTTTTCTTCCTCCATTTAGCCTTTGCTTGTGTGCTATTCAAATTTACGAGAAAGGGGTGGAGTTGTCAACCTGAGGTTATCTGAAACATGGCTGAGAGGCTACCAGGTAAACCTAAATTAAACACTGAACAAGATGACTTCTAATGTAGAATTTCAGAGACAGGTTTTTGGCACCCATGATCTTATGTCCTATTGAGCTACACTGCTGCATGTACTCTTATTAGGTAGATACATTGTTAATGCAGTGGATGTTTTAATTCATGTGATGTCTTCTAAACTGAGTTTTCCTGAGCTAAGTACATTAATTTGTCCAAGATTGTCTTCAGTTTATACAAATAATTGTTGTCTCGACAGATCCACAGATTTTCCACTTGTTTTGCTGTAATATCACCAGTTTTCTTTCCGCTAACTCGTTCTAACTCACCAGTCCTCATCAATTATATCTGTTGCATGTGCTCTATCACTGTAGCTTTATTAGATTTTTAGTCCATCAAACCTGGTTTGTTTCTCAGCAAAGTCCGATTACAAAGGTAATTTTGCTGAAATGGTCTTGCATTGTAATTTTAACATGGCAGTTTAACCAGTTAGTGAGAACTGTGCAAGGGGCCATAGTACAGAAGAGCACCAAGTACTTGAGTTAATTTTACATGCTCAAACTATTAAGTTTAGGTCATCCAGCCTAAATCCAGTTTTTCTGAAGATTGTCATCATGAGAGAGAGCAAATAAACACCACAAAATCATAGCATTGTTGCAATACAGAAGGAGGCCATTCTGTCCATTGTTTGTACCAGCTCTGTCTGAATGAACAAGTTGCTTGGTGCCAGTCTCCAAAGGTTTCCCCATAACCTTACACGTTGTTTCTTTTTCATATAACTTTCTAATTCCCTTTTTGAATGCTTTGATTGAACCTGCCTCCACCACACATCTTAAGGCGGTACATTCCAGACCCTAACCGCTCACTGCATAAATGTTGTTTTTTTTCATCTTTTATAGCTTTTACCAATTACTTTAAATATATGCACTCATTATTGATCTTTCCACTAATTGTGACATTTTCTCTATCTATTCCAAACTGTCCACACTTCTCATGATTTAGAATAGCTGTCAAAATTTCTTTCAACCCTATTTGTTTTTCCATGGAAAATAGTCCAAACATCTGCATTTTGTCTTTGTAACTAATTTCTTCTTTGCACACGTTCCAACATGTTCACCTCCTTAATAATGTGCCACGCAGAAATGGATGCAGTACTCAAGCTGAGGCCAAAGTGTTTTGAACAAGTACAACATATCCTCCTTTTTCTTGTATTATGTCCCTATTAATAAAGCCTAGGACACTGTATGCTTTATTAACCTTGCTCCCAACCGGTTATGCCTCCTTGAATGGCTTATGTATACGTATGTGAGGTCCCTCTGCTCCTGCACTCCTTTTACCATTTTCTTTGAACAGTTATCTAAAGAAAAAGTCTTTTTAAAGAAAAATATTCTAAATTTCTGGCATTAATTTACATCAATGTATAAAAATTAATTTATACAAATATTTCAGGTTTTGCCAAACCGGACTCATCCCAAGCTGACAATGAGTGGAGGCGGTGGCTACATCCTGACCGGTATTACTGTTGCTATGGACAGAACAAAATCAGTTGCCAATATTTCTAATTCTCAGAGGGCTGAAGAACGTCCGGCCAAAAGACAAAAAATTGAGGAATCCAAAAGTTAGCCTTCCTCCAAGTACTGTAGCTAATCCTGAAACTGATTATTGGAGCTCATTGTGGAGCTGATTGTAAAGCTCAAACTGCAAGTTTCTACAGACTGCTATATGTTTATTTTCTTATCAATGGTATTTGTGCCATTTGGAATTTTCTGCTATGATGTGGAGCATCAGCAAAAGTGATTTTGCATCTGTGATGTAGGTGCTCTCCATGCACAGACAAGTATTGCTATGTACCAGTGTACAATGTTTCTTTATATCCCCAATTCTGCAAAAAGTAAAAGAAATGAAATTAAGTATTTTTTTGAAAAATGTGTTCATGCTGCAATTACATACAAGAAAAGTTTTTAGTTTGAAAGTTGTAAAACTCTCCTTGAATATTTGTTCCAGGCAACCTCGGCCTGTCAAGGGACTCTAACTTCACAAAATGAAGGTCCTAATTAATTAGGAATTGTGACCAGCTGTAAAATACATTTTTTTTTCCCACAGTTTCATTCATATCAAGTTATGGAAACTAACTTCATGCACTGAAGTACTTTTCTTGATGGATTTAGCTATTTTAAATTGATTTTATTTATAATTTGTACAGTGGTTTTCATTGCTAGTTTATCTATATTGAAAGTGTCACATCACTGGAATCAACTATGAAAAAATTGAGTTATCTGAAATAAATCCATTTAATCAAGCTTATTTTAAACTTAATTGCCTTTCCAAATAATTATTTGGTCCAACACAGTCCTGTTTTCATGAACTGCATGTATGGAAGATTTGATTCAATGTTCAAAAACACTTTCTGTCCCTAGTTACTTGCTGCTTTCACCTAAAATTTGAAAGTTCAAATATGGTATCCATTCAATTTCTACAGTGTTTAAAAAGTTCACTTTTGAAGAAAATTTTGCATGTATTGAAAACCTGCTTGGATCGCAAAGACTTGACAGGCTCTCAAACTGTAATAGTACTGCTTATGTATTTTAAATATTCTTCAATTCAAACTGCCTTGTCTTAAATTTGCCATGGAAAAATATAAACAAAACAGTTGAGTTTTCTTTTGCTTCTAACATTATCTTCCATTTTTGATGTTTTAAGAACCCCAATGAAATTTGTACCTCATAAACCAACTCCCCAGTCAAAAATGCAGCCATACTTTGAGCGGTCCGGATGTTTTACTCCACTGTACTGTCCTATTAATTAGACTGTTCCAAATGTTTTATCACCATCTGTTCATACTGGTTTGCCCTGCAGTAATACAGAGTTCACCAGATCTTTTATTTTGTACAGCTCAAGTTCTTGCTAAATCTCCTCTCATTTCTCCAATTTAGTCTTTCTAGAATGTGTACTAGGCTTCTTTAATTTTTTTGTATTTCATTCCCATTACATTGGGATTTTATTCCTTCCTAATTAATGTTTTATTCAATTTTGACTTGTGACCCAATATTGTGTTTAGTAGTTTCTGACCTGGCTATGTATTCTATACATTTAATATTTGATCCTGGACCAGACCAGACATCTTGATATAATCCTGATTCAGAGATAGTAGGACCTGCCGATGCTGGAGAATCTGAGATAACAAGGTGTAGAGCTGGCAGGCCGAGCAGGAAAGCTGACGTTTTGGGTCTGGACTCTTCTTCAGAAATGGGGGAGGGGAAGGGGATTCTGAAATAAATAGAGAGAGAGGGGGAGGCGGATGGAAGGTGGATAAAGGAGCAGATAGGTGGAGAGGAGACGGACATGTCAAGGAGGTGGAATGGAGCCAGTAAAGGTGAGTGTAGGTGGGGAGTTAGGATGGGGGTTCGTCAGTCCAAGGGAAGACTGACAGGTCAAGGAGGTGGGGATGAGACTGGTAGGTAGGTGGTGGGGGTGGTGTAGGTCAGTGAGGTGGGAGAAAAGACGGACAGGTCAAGGAGGCGGGGATGAGCTGGGATGGTTTTGGGATGAAGTCGGGGGTGGGGAGATTTTGAAGTTTGTGAAGTCCACATTGAGACCATTAGGCTGCAGGGTTCCTACGCGAAATATGAGGTGCTGTTCCTGCAACCTTCAGGTGGCCTCGTTGTGGCATGAGAGGAGGCGCAGGATGGACACCTCATCCAAGTAGTGGGAGGGGGAGTTGAAGTGGTTCGCGATTGGGAGGTGCAGTCGTTTATCGTGAACCAAGCGTAGGTGTTCCACAAAGCAGTCTCCAAGCCTTCGCTTGGTTTCCGCGATGCAGAGGAGGCCACATTGGGAACAGCGCATACAGTATACCACATTAGCAGATGTGCAGGTGAACATCTGTTGATGTGGAAGGTTTTCTTGGGGCCTGGGATGGGGGTGAGGGACTTCACAAGTTTCAAATCTCCCCACCCTCGATCTAATCCCAAAACCAGCCCAGATCGTCCCTGCCACCTTGACCTGTCCGTCTTTTCTCCCACCTATCAGGTCCTCTCACTTCACTGACCAACCCCCAGCCCCATCTCCTACCTACCAGCCTCATCCCTGCCTCCTAGACCTGTCCGTCTTCCCTTGACTGACCAACCCCCATCCTAACTCCCCACCTACACTCACCTTTTGCTGGCTCCATCCCCACCTCCTTGACCTGTCTGCTCCTTTTATCCACCTTCCATCCACCGCCCCCCACCTCTCGCCCTATTTATTTCCGAATCCCATTCCCCTCCCCCAGTTCTGAAGAAGGGTCCAGACCCAAAACTTTAGCTTTCCTGCTCCTCTGATGCTGCTTGGCCTGCTGTGTTCATCCAGGGTCAGGGTCACCAAATTATGCTACCATCTGGTTAACACCATTCCCCTTTATTTTTAAAGTGGACAATGATGACTTCCAAAGGACTTAAACTGAAGGCAATAAATTCCACACATTTGAACAAATAACAATATTTTACAAATTAGAACTGTAATACAATCTACCAGTATCTGTGCAGTTTATTTCTAACATCCACAGTTAACTTGTAAGCGTGGGTAATATACTGTGATAAAACATTCCACAATGCACATCAATTGGTAAATGCTACCAAAACTGATTCCTTCAATTTCTCAGCAGTTGCCCCAGTTGTTAATGTCATGGATCATTAGATTTTACAAGGCATTCAATTCCTCATTTTTGCTCATTTGGCATTAATTCCCTTTCAAGAGCTGTTTCATCATGGAGTGCCTGAATGAATGTTCTTCCAGTTTATCACCCTGTGGTTATAGATCTGCACTGTGAACTTCTAAGCATAACTCCTGGTCTTCACTAGCAGCTGGGTACTCTGAGCCAGATATGTCCCTGAGTTCTTCCCTTAGCTCTAATCTTGCTCAGTTGTATGAAGCAGTTACTACTGCAGACGTTCCAACCCTCACGCACTCGGCTGCCCTGAAGTACTAATGCTTCCAAGGCCTTCTCGGCTTCTGCTAATGCAGGGCAAGTGACCTTCCCACTTTCTCAACTCGTCAGGGCTACTGGGAGCTAAATAACTGCTTTTGCCATCTTCCCTGCATGACAGCTGAACATTTTTTAAATTTTCTTTTCAGTACCCTTTTGTAGGTTGTACAGTTTGTTCCATTTATATTAACATGCTACTGCTACTGCTCAGTTTTCCAACACGATATTGTTTATTCCATTTATTGCATGATTGTGTTATAAATTAATACTTATGCTTTTAGTCAGATTCATATTTGTTAGTATGGATTTTTTTTTTGGGAAAAAAAGCCCAACCTGAATTTGTATTGTTGTAATTGACATTTGACGTGAACTACAGAATTTCAGGAAAGTTGCATTTCACTATCTGTAATACAAGTCACGTCCCTGTTGGGGAAGGATGGAGAGCGGTGAGAGGAAGGAGGTGGTCAGTCTATTCTGTTGTGTGCACTGATGATGCTGGAGTAAATGCTGACCTCTTGTAATTTAGCTGGCCATCTTGTTTAAATCGGTGCTCTGTGCAGTAACTTGAGATTTATGCAAAGATGGAGATTGAGACCATGCAGCTCCTAAAAATGCCATATCTGCAATTTCAAGTAATGTGACTCCATTCTTTAGAAATACCAAAGCAATTTGTAAAGTTTGTTGAATTTGGATTATTTGTGTAATATGGGAACTGAGGTCAATGCACTTTAAAGGTACTGTAGACATTATCAAAAAATATTTATCTACTCAAAATGGATGCTAATAAAATTTGCCACAAGTGTGGAAAATTAAGTATTCAGTTGCATCTTTAGATTAAATGTGGACCTAAAGCAGCTGTATGCTTGAAAATGTACGCAGGAAGACCATTTCAAAAAAAAATCGATGGGTATCCATTTCCCAACTCTCATCATCTGACCAGTTGATCAAATGTTGTACATCACACAGGCCCTGAAAACATGCTGTGCATCGTATTTGGTATTAATTCTGTAATAGTGCGAATGAGAAAATAAATGTGAAAAACATCTGCATCTCAACAGTGGTGATAAATTGAAGTTTCATTCACAATCACCACCACAAAAGTGATTTCAAAAGATCCCCAAACACTATGGGCAGAAATTTGAACTGGAGAGGTGGGCACCCTGCTTCCTCCATGAAAGAGTACACAGTTCACATAGTCCAGACTCTAGCCTTTCAGTGGGTTGAACTAGTGCTGAGCAAGACTTCTCACTGGCAAGAAATTGCACCCTCTGAAGCTGCCAGTAATCAGAACTCAGAAGTGGGCCTTGCCACCACTGTGGACTCTGCACCGGGACCCAATGGATCCCCAAATTGAGGTAAGTTGGGGGCCTCTGGATAGAGGTGTAGGATAGGTTTTAAAGTACAGCTGGGTAGGAAGGAAATGTAAACTAAGTACCAGAGTAATGGAAGCATGTTTGACCTCTTTGGAATCAGAGTCATACTGGGTTTGAAGCATTAACTCTGTTCCTGCTAGACTTGCAGAGATTCTCTTGCACTTTGTTTTTTTATTTCAGATTTCCAATGTCACTGTTTTGCTTTCCTAGAAAGGAAGGGGAATATACTTGGGGAAGTGGAGAGGCAGACCCTGTTATACTAGAACTCGTTTTTCTTTCTTCTCTCCCTGCCCGCCCACCACCACCATCCACTCCCAAAATAAACACCACTTTCTGTAAATAGACAGTTCACTACTGCTCAACTGTATTGAGACGTTTATTATTGGGATCAATTGAGTTTTTAATTATGCAGTAAACTCTGAGGTGGGTGTGGACATTGTGGACTGGCCACCAATCCTCTTTTGCATGTCCTACCACCTCATCCCCAATGAAAACTTAAGAATGTAATATTTAGCCCTGTTTTAGTTTGGGTTGTTTTTACCCCACCCATCACTACCTCAACTACCTTACTTCCAGATCAAAATCATTAAATTAATTAATCTGGTCATTAATGCTAAACATTTTGGTGATCGTTTGCACAAATTGCAACATTTCCAACATTAGTGTGATGCCAGTGGACACTTTACTCCTTCAGTTGTAACACACAAGCGTAGTAAGGTCATGAAACATACTATATAAATGCAAGTTTTTTTTTAATTTATTTGAATTCATTTTCATGAATGTGTTGAAATATCTATCCCAACTGTGGACTGTAAATGGCATCAGTTTGTTTACCTCTTTTTAAAAAAAACATACAGTTGGTAATGTAGCCCACCAGAAATGTATTTTATGATATAACTGATGCTGAAATGCTGTTCAGGCCTTGGCGGTTAAGTAATTGTTATTGAATTCAGTTGCATTTTGCCATTTCAGTATTTGCTTTTTTTTTTCATAGTTGGCTGAAAGTAGCAGTGACACAGGATTGGAGTCAGTTCATCTCTATTTTTATTTATAGCAAATTACAGGCTGAACCATGGCACAGCAATAATGTGAAATTAATGTGAAGATGATAAGATCTGACAGTTTTCATGAACAAGGAACCCAACCTGTTGTTTAATGTTTCATGCTTTTAAATCTGCATAACATTTAACAATATGGAAATGCACAATGGAAACATTACCAGTATTCTAAAACACAGCACCTAGTGAACAACAAAAGACATTGTGATACTGTGCAAGTCGCCTTTTCACTCTAAATGCATGATATATATGGCTCCTCTTTATTTTTAAAAATATGGTATAGCAGAGAAGCTAATTGACTTTTCTGACAACATTTTGTTAATTTCTTTGACTTCCATGTAGCTTTTCTGCCATTTTCTCCAGTTCCAAGTCCATAGCTGCCAAATTCTCCAGTTCCTTCTCCTTTAGGGACAATGAAAAACAATTCATTATTTATCTCAACTCTATTCAAGATTGTGCCAATGGAAATTTTCCAATTGTAGTACAGAATAAATGCTATTTCAATAGAACTGAAAGCTATTTTATTGATGTGGGAAATCTGAAATTCTTAGACCTGGCAACATCAAAGGAGAAAGAAATAGCAGTTCTGGTGAAGGAGTCCAGACCTGAAATATTAACTGCTTGTCCATGGATACAAAAGGAAGCATGTGTGGAAATTGTGATGGTATGACTGATGATAATCTTCCAATACTGATTAAACAATGAGTTGCTGCCAGAGAACTAGAAAATGGTAAATGCTGCACCCTGATTCAAAAAAGGGTATAAGTATAAACTTTGTAAATTCAGGCAAATCTATTGTGGAAAATCTCTTTGAAACAATAAATTGGGACAAAGTTAAATCATTTGAACAACTGCATGTTAGTAATGGAAAACCAGCAGCAATTTTAACTTGAGTTATTTGATGAGGTAATAACGAGGGCTGATGAAGGTAATGCAATTGATTTCATTGAGGAAATGCCTGTTGTATGGCACATTAAATTTGCTACTCTCCTTTTTATTCCTTAAGCCCAATGTCTAGGAATCGGTAATGGTAAATGGGAGATAGTAGGAACTGCAGATGCTGGAGAATCCGAGACAACAAGGTGCAG